ACCAACACCAAATCTGCCTTTCTACCGCTCTCGATCCTTCCACGATCATGGAATTTGAACCGTTCTGCAGTTATCGATGTAGCGGACTTGAGTACATCCAATGGGGACATGCCCACCTCTTTGATGAGCACACGCATCTCCATGTGCATCCCAAGACCGTAAGGTAGACCGACACTTCCACCAGCGGCATCAGTTCCCAGTACGAGAGGAACCCCGGCTTCGTACAAAGCCTTGGTGTTTGCATATGCATTCAGCACAGAAGACGTGGGCTTCTGCTTCGCAGCCATCCCCATTGGCTCTCCGGCTGTCTTATGGATCAGCATCTTTTGGGCGAACGGGTCCTCGAAGAACGATTTCTGAAAGTCTTGACCTTCTGCTGTTTGTGAAGCACACTGCCAAAGGGTTGGATTGCAGTGCGCTTTGTTGTCCAACATGATCTGAACGTAGTCATCGCTGGGTGGCTTATCAAGAAACATGTGGCTCAACCCGTCGGCTCCAGCGCGGAGAAGGTCCATGGCACCAGCGTAGCTAAAGGCGTGGCCTGTGGTGGCCACACCATACTTTTGCGCGGCAGCGACGACGGCTTCCTGGATATCCATCGGAGGGCGTGGAAGATCCATGCCGAGAGTGTCACCAATCTCGTGGAACATCTTAATGTAAGATGCGCCGTTTTCTTCGACTTGCTGCTTGACAAATGGTTCTGCATCCTCCGGCTTACGCAAGATCGGCCAGGTCGAGATGATCTGATCAACGATGTGATCTCCGCACGGGTTGTCAGCGAAGACCCTTCTGATCACCGGGATAGGCCATCCGCCTTCGATGACGGCGCCCAGGCCAGCACATTTGAAGTCTGCGTAAATCGATTTATTCGCCGAGACGCTAGCCAGCTATTGTAAAAGTCAGATCATACTGATATTCCCTACTTCGAGGGAGTACGTCTCAAACTCACCTCCCTCAATTTGGCGTTATCACTTGGCTCATTGTGCATATCGCAAATCGTAGTGACACCAAAACGGAGGGACTGCTCGACACTGTTGATGTCTCCGCCGAGTGCATGAATATGAGCATCGATCAATCCAGGAATTACCGTATCACCAGGCCGCGAAATGATTGGCAACCCGTCCTGGGCATCTCCGGGAAAGCCACCAACACCAACTTGGGTGATAATGCCGTTCTTGACATGCACATAGCCCTTATTGATGATTTCGTGTCCAGTGAATATGCTGACATCTTTGAGAACGAATGAACTGTTGTATTCCATAATCGCGTCGGTGCTATTGGCGAATCAAAGGCTTGTATCGTTGTGGGAAACGCAAGCCCGAAAGGTCGAAAAGCTGATTAAGAGTACAAAACCTGCCTGGTGATGTCTATGAGTTTGAAATCAGCGAATACTGTGGATTTATAAGCTTTTTATAGTTACGGCGAAAGATACTTGGTGACGAAAACCAATAACGTTGAATTGTCTAGCGGCGATATCAAGGGCGAGATCGCGCTTATTCTCAAGGAGAATCAGGATTCGTTGACCCCACGTTGACACACCATCATATGGACCTTTGATTTTTTTGGGCCCGGTGCAGCGCGAAGCCATCGGCCGTCGCGGAGAGCGAACGGACGATTGGGCACTCATAATCCACTACAGCGAACACCGACGGCAGACACCGACTCAGACGCCGGAAAGTCCACTGTGGATGCCGGACATAGACACCGAGATCGACACAAAGCATTATTGAGACCTTCAAAGTGCGGCTTGAGATCCCGACAACATGACACAGTACCTTATCCTTTCGAGTCATGTGAAAGACGGGAGCAAAAACTGATTTCATGGCCTTGTGTCGACTGCTCACATTATACATGGGAAAGTTCACGGCCTCTGAGTATCTGTGAGGATTGAGAAGTTTCTGAAATAGAGGCTCAATTCTTGATGCCAAGACGAAGTTGACAATTGCTCTTACGTAGACTCAAAGAACAAGAATTGATGCGAGTTTTAACGAGCGCGGCCACTGCGCTACAGCCCAAAAATGAGAAAAAAAGGGATTAATGGCGGTAGCAGAAGTCAAGTTCATTTATCAAACTCTCCTCACCTTCATGGGGCATGTTATACAATACTCTTCAAGCCCTCAACAGTGGGGCTATAGTTGCTGAGAGGTGGGTCACAGAACATGACAAGATTCGTGGGAAATGGTATCATCGACTTATGCCCTTATCTTGTTACAACACATCCGCATTGCGGCAAATCCGAGTTGCTGCTTCGCACCCTTGAAGAAACTTTGACAGAGTTCTAGAACGGCGGAAACAATAGCCATGTCAAAGACTGTCAAACACCCGATCAGCTTTGTTGCTTTCCAACAGCAAGGTGTTAATTCCCCCCGAATTGGACACCTCGACACAGAATCGCAAAACATTCTGCCCCTCAGCTTCATCTCCGGGAAAGCTGTTGAGAACTTGTATCAGGTTATCATCGCGGGCAAACACACATACTTAGCTGCTGGTCCAGTCTTACGCGTTCAGGATGTGAAGCTACTGCCTCCTATCTCAGGGAGAGATGTCCTTGCAGTCGGCAAGAACTACATGGAGCACGCAAAGGAATTCAACAGCTCGGGCTACGATAGCTCTGATAAGGTGGATTTGCCAAGTCGCCCTGTGATTTTTACAAAGCGTGCCACTTCAATCATAGCCCATGGAGAGGAACTACAAATCCACAAGGGATTCACCGAGAGCGCCGATTATGAAGGCGAAATTGGCGTAATCATCAGCAAACCAGGGTACAAAATCCAGGAAAACGAGGCTTGGAGTTACGTATGGGGGTATACCATCATCAACGACGTCACTGCCAGGGAACGGCAAAGAGACCACAAACAGTTCTACATCGGCAAATCCGCAGACACTTTCTGCCCAATGGTACGCATTCTGACCATATCTCAACTCTAAATGCAAGCTGATGCCCTTTGGTCAGGGCCCTATTGCTGTACGAAAGGAGGACCTGCCTGATTGGGGGCGGTCTTTGCGTTTGCAGACTCATGTCAATGGAGAACTTCGACAAGACGCCACGGCCAAAGATCTAATCTTTTCCATCCCTCATCTTCTCAGCACGCTGTCTGCGGGTCAGACCCTCCAGCCGGGTGATGTCATCGCTACGGGCACTGTAAGTCTCTTCTATCAAATTACCTGCGATGTATTGGTCAAATGATGCTAACGACATATAATTGAAGCCTGCCGGCGTTGGCATTGGTAAAGCACCTCCGGTCTTCTTGAAACCCGGTGATGAACTCGCCGTCACCATCGCCGGCCTTGGTACTTTAAGAAACAGAGTCGCCGACCACTCAAAGATGAATCCCACTGAACTGAAGATACAGGAGCAATCGAGGAATCTGTTTCGCCTCGACAACAGCGAGAAGTCAAAGCAAGCTCAATTCGGCCTTAACAGGAATATTGGTCGCTTCGGGGCAGGTTACCAGCGACTTGGTGTTGGAAAAGACACCATCATTCTCATCCATGGTCTTGGAGGTACCAAAGACTACTGGCTGCCATTGATAACTACTCTGGAACTTGGAAACTCCGCCTCCGTACATTTGTATGACTTTGCAGGGCATGGCCTTACACCAACACACCCTCTGGAGACCATCACCGTCGATTCCCTTACTCAAGACCTTTCGGGAGTCTTCAGTCTATCTGAGGCGGATTCAGGTAAATCCCCTGCGACTCTGATCGCCCACTCTTTCGGGTGCTTGATCGCCATCAATCACGCCCTCGCCTATCCTGGACATGTCAAAAAACTGATCTTGTTTGGGCCACCCCCCTTGCCTCTCCCTTCCTCGATCAAGGACGAGTTGATCAACTCTGCGGCTCTCGCAAGAACTCAGAGCTTGTCCGGGATCATCGAGGACGTTGTCGCGACCCAGGTATCAGGCCATACCAAGAAGACTAACCCTTTGGCGGTGGCTGCTGTGCGAGTCAGTCTCGCGGGTCAAGACCCAGAGGCCTACGCCAAGGCATGTTCGGCTTTTGCTTCGGTTGATGCAATTGACCTCAAATATCTCGATACGGAGACCCTGCTGATTACGGGACAAGACGATCCGGTGTCGTCCCCAGCGATAGTCGAAGATTACGTGCAGAAGATCAACGGTTCTCGAAAGGCTGTGCTACCGAACGTGGGCCACTGGCATGTTTTTGAAGATTTTGCCGGTGTAGGCCAGAGTCTGCGAGAATTTTTGTAAGGCCGAATAACTTCACTACATGGAATTGAGACTACAAGACGGAGAGTCGCGTTCGAATATGACTGGTAGCAAGCCAGTGGTAGCTCCATAATGTGAATACTTTATTAATGTCAGCAGTCAAAAGTCGGGCATAATGTCTCCAAATTCCAAGAGTATGCCTACCTCGTTACCTGCATCGCGAGACGGTTAGAATCTTCCCACATGGGATGTGGAGATGTTGCTTGCTAAACTTATGCTGTTAGCGAGGACGCTTTCCCCAAATGGGCGTTCTGCTGACATCAAAGTTCAACATCACCATGGTTTGTCTCAACTCGTGTTCCATGAAAATGAAAAGCCCAACCTCTTCCATTTTCAGCCTCACGTGGTAAGGCCTTGCAAACCATCGGCATGATTTCTCCCTATAGGGATGACCGACTGCTTCCCGCTTGAGCTCCGGCCTATGTAAGACGTATAGCTTTATCAGCTTCACTACCAACGTCTCAGCTAGCCTATCAGAATTTGATACAATGGTGTTGGCATTGGAAATGGTCGGGGGCCTTTGGTCCATGGCAATTACAACATGCATCGCGGCGCTCCTCTACTTCTGTGTGAAGTTTTATGCTGCACGCCAGACGATATGGCGAATGCAGGAAGTAGGATTGGTAGGAAGACCCAGCTTCGCCGAGATATCATTTGTGTTAACAATCGATGTAGCCAATGCCCGCTTACTCTTCCCTGGGCGGGCATTTTCCGCTCATAAAAAGGATCATGGGAACTTTACCTTCAGACAGTATCATCCACAACATCATGTGGAAGATATCAGAAGACTATTACAATGGCATCTTCTACCTGAGTCTTTGGCCTTTCAGTGGCACCATGATGGTTCTCGCAGACGCTGACGCGGCGTCGCAGCTTGATAGCCTGGCTCTCGGTAAAGGGCTCGACATAATCGACCCCATTGAGAAGGTCACTGGCGGAAAGAGCTTGTTGACCATGAAAGGAGATGAATGGAAGCACTGGCGACGCTTGTTCAACCCGGGGTTCAGTCCTGGGTACATGATGGGCTTGACGTCCGCCATCGCAGATGAAGTGGGTATTTTCCGGCAGAAACTTCTGGATAAATGCGCGACCGGCCAGAGCGAAGTGTTCTTACTTGAGGATCTGACCCTAAAGATGACGTTCGATATAATCGGGTCCGTTGTGCTGTAAGTATCGTGACCTCTCATCAGAGCAAAGGAAACTCCGTGCAGCGAGCTTACTTCTGCGGTGATAGAGAAACTCGACTTGGTCATCAGACGCATGATCACCCTTTAGCAGCAGCTCTGCGAAAGCAGATAGAATGGACTTCCTTCCGCGAGCCGCTGAACCCTTTAGAAAGATATCTCACCATCCGTCCGCTGGTTCTCTGGCTCAACGGGAAGAAGCTGGACCAGTACCTATCTGCAGAAATTGACAAGAGACTTACAGGGCGTTCTGAAAGTTTGTCCAACTCAAACGACACAACGCGCTCGAAGTCGATAGCTTCGCTTTTCATCGATGATTACCTTAAGGAGTCGGGCGAGGAAAACCTCGGCAAGAGAGAACACGCAAATACCACGCAGAAGATCAAACATATCATCACACCCCAGGTACGACTTTTCCTGTTTGCAGGTCATGATACGACCAGCAGCACCTTGTTGTACTGCTATTATCTCCTCTCCCAGAATCCGGAGATCGTATCTCGCATCATAGCAGAACATAACGAAGTCTTTGGAACCGACCCATCACAGGTTCATGACAAAATCCGCAAGGACCCTCAACTTCTTAACATGATACCCTACACCGTCGCATTCATCAAAGAGGTGCTGCGCATATTTGCCCCGGCCGGTGCTATGCGTCAAGGACGTTCCGACGTCCAGATTGTTGACGCGGACGGCCGCGTACTCCCCACAGAAGGTTGCAACGTCTGGACTCTTGTGCAGGCTATACATCACAATCCCAAGTACTGGAAAGATCCTGATGCCTGCATTCCTGAGCGTTGGCTCGTTGGCCCGGGAGACCCGTTGTATCCCCATAAGGGCGCCTGGCGGCCATTTGAGTGGGGTCCACGGAACTGCATCGGGCAGACGTTAGCGATGCTCGAGCTGAGGGTTGCTTTGGCCATGACTGTGAGAGAGTTTGTCATCAAGCCTGCGTATGAAGACTGGGATAAGCTTCACCCCAAATCCGGTATTCGCAGCTTCAAAGGCAATAGGGCGTATCAAGCAGTTAAGGGCGGGGGCGGAGCACATCCGGCAGATGGATTCCCTGTGAAGATTGGCCTACGGAGTTGTTGACTAATACGTAAAAGTATGAGAGTTTGAAGCCCACGCTGATAGATTCTCAAGACTTTGTCAAAGCTACACATGAGCATTGGCTCTAAGTTTCGTCAGTGTCATCTTATGATATACCGAGGCAGCTTTTCTCCTATTAGTCAAGTCAAAGTTATGGTTGTCTCAAGAACGAGGTGTGGTCTCTTGGGTCTCTGCCCGAAAGAGCACCTACATGAAGGGTCTATAATATTGGCCGGAGCATCGCTACATGACTCCTGAAATCGGCGTGAACTGTATTCATATAAGTGACAGAAGAATAACTACCAGAAGATTGTTCGAAGTGGGAATGCGCTTGTCCTCGGAGACTTTTAACTGCTTTTCGGGTTCTTATCTAGGACGTTAAGTCCGAGGCAAAGCTGCGCGATTGAAGTCTCAAAGACCCGCATCTCAGGGGAAACGTCAACCCTGCCTCGATCGCGGATATATCCCGCCTCACACGGGCGAAACCCACATCACTCAGAGATGGAGGTTTCAAAGGATAGGTTGACAGCGGACCGCAGGCGGCCCTTGAACTGTAAAATATGGGGTGTCTCAGCGCCGACCGGCGACGAAAAGCTCGGCCTCCAGAGTTTAGGACCACGCATCCCACGGCGATATCGCCGGTATGCCGCGCTCGCATCCCGCAGTCCGCAGTCCTGCTTCTTTGAGGTGGGTTGTATCCGGATGCGACAAAACTGGAGGCTGGTTCTCGTCGAAACAAGTGGAACTGGTGATAAAACGACCCATGGTGTCCTGTGCTGCTATCCCCGCTACATGAATCAGATTGGATAACGTCGATGTCACGGATCAATCTGTGGCGAACCTGGTAGCTACTATGGAGTTCATTGTAAGCGCTTGGTGGGCCTGGCTGCGTGGCATCGCTCCCGCCGGCCTACAGGCCCAGGGAACATTCATCTCCGGGGCCCATGAGCTTCCCGCTTCAATGACACCCTTCTCAAATTCTTGCGGTAAAACGACGGACTGCACAACTCTAAAGTCCGGCTCACGATGATATCGCAGATCTCTGCTTGGCAGATGTTCTGAGATATAAGAGCTTCATTCTCCTCCACTCTTTCGGTATCGGAATCCTTTGATCTGATCATCAATATCGCCAGCATCAAACAACTAGATCTCCCAACACTAACAACAAAGTGTTAAGTTCCCTCCATATCAACACCATGGCGGTCCAAGACGAAAAGCGCCAGGTCATCATCGTCGGCGGTGGCATCACGGGCCTGACGTTGGCGTTGATGCTACAGAATCTCGGAGTCGACTATGTGCTTCTCGAGGCTTACGGAACGGTAACACCCAACGTAGGAGCTAGTATCGGCTTGTTCCCCAACGGTCTTCGAATACTCGATCAGCTCGGTTGCTACGATGATATTCTCGCCAGAGGTCAGCCTGTCGAGGAGCATATTGTAAGGAACAGCATCACTGGCAAGCGCATCATGACCCGCAAGTCGAGGAGCCTCATCACCAAACGACACGGCTACCCCAATATCTTCATGGAGCGTTTCGAGCTTTTGAACGTGTTGTACGAGCACTTGAAGGACAAGAGCAGAATCTTTGTCAACCAGAAAGTTAAGAGAGTAGAGAGTCTCAAGGACAGCGCCTTGGTCTACACCAAAGACGGCTCCGTCTTTGAGGGACAAATGGTGGTCGGCGCAGACGGCGTCCGCAGCACAATCAGACAGGAAATGTGGAGGAACGCCGATGACAACAACGACTCCAGCGCCATCCCGGCCCGCGACAGACAAAACATTCCCTGCGAGCACGCCTGCATCTTCGGCACCGCCAAGCCCATGGCCGGCGTGGCACCGGGCCAAGTCGTCGGCGCAAGCGGGCCGGGCACCGTGGCCGGCTGCATGGGCGGCCCCAGCGGCGAGGTCTTTGTCTTTTGGTTCTGGACGCTGCCTGAGGACCAGCGTTCGTACCCGATCGACGAAATCCCGCGGTTCACGGAAGAGGACAAGCAGCGCGAGTTCGGCCGCAGCGTTGACACCCTTGTTGCCGACAACGGCTTGCGGTTCCGTGAGGTTGTGAAGAACCTTGAGTACAGCGGCGTCACGGCCCTCCCGCACTTTGTCATGCGGCGGTGGCACTACGGACGTATCGTCATCCTCGGCGATGCGGCGCACAAGTTCAACCCGCTCGTGGGGCAGGGTGGCAACAGCTGTATCGAGTCCTGCGCCTCGCTGGTCAATGCCCTCCAGGAACAGAACATTATCGGCAAGGGTGTCTCTGCCGCGGCAACCTGGCAGTTGCCCAGCCTGAAAACTGCTTTCATGACTGTTGAAGAGCAGCGTGTGGAGAGGTTGGCACTCATGGTCGAGCAGTGCCAAGAAGCCATGCGCATGTCTGCTTGGGATACCTGGAAGGGCCGCTTGGTGCAACAATACATTGCGCCCCTCTTGCCGCTCGCCAAGTGGCTCAACTTCTACAGCGACCAGATTGCCGGTGGCCTGAGTTTGAAAGGTGTGAAGCCGCCTTCATCGGATCACGAGTGGCTCTACAGCGATGAGAAGACCGCGGAGGAGAAAGCTATGACTCTGAGCAGAGCGAGCGTCATCGCCACGATTCCCGTCGCTGTCTTGACTGCTTTCGTGGTAGCGCGAGTCCTTCGCCAGGAAAACGGTTCTGGCGGATCGATGCTGCTCTCGCGGGTGATGGAGAAGATTTCTAGCTTCCGATGATGGAGTCATGGGGGACGCAAGGACTGAGGTTAGGGCCGCTCCCTGGTGATGGATCCTCAAAAACTAGATGATAGCCTGTTTTCTTCTTTCTTTTAATAACCGCATTGTTCATGTCTCATCCATCAATTTCTTCGGTCTTTTGTTCTAGAATTGGACAATCAGCAGCACATCAGCGTTGAATACCTAGTAAGATATTCACCCCAAGTGTGATCCCGGCCTAATTCATACACTGCAACACGAGACTTGCCGGTTGGCTTTGCCCGTTTTATAAAAGGTACATGATGCGAGAAACGTATTGGCGGCCCGAGTCCTCGCTGCCCGATTTGGCGCCGTCATAACCTACTTACAGACCACAACGGTTCGAGGCGTTGATATCGTATGCCACACCGAACTTACACCTCTCGACATCAAGTGGAAGTATCTAATGGGTCAACAAGGTGAGCCAGTACATAACGGCTATCTAGTCACACGGAATATGCCATAAAGAACGTTAGAGACCCCACGGAAAAACACCGCGCCTCCCTCAGACGTTTCATCGTCCCTGAAATTGTACCGTCTATAAGACAACTCCATCTTCGGCATTCTTTGAAGTAAGGTAAGCATCCTGGTTCCCTGGAAGTTTCAAACGGGGAAGCCTAACAGACGGGTAAAAGCAGGATAGTGCCACTACCCTTCAACTTACCGAGCAGAGGAAAATTCGTGAACCACGGAAGATACGGACACCACCACAATGCGCCTCACCTTAGCCCTCCTCCTATTCCTCCTCCTCACAGCCTGCGCCGCCGACTACATTGTAGTCCAAACCCGCTGCCGCTCTTGGGATCCCGCCTCCTGCGAACGCCAAGACAGCTTCTTCCACTTCAACGGCGGCCGGCAATCCATCAATGCCAACCAAGGGTGCCGCAACGCACACTCCCGAACGCTCCTAATATCGATCTGTCTCGATTACGAGACAAAACGCGGGCACTTTCTCTTCTCGCACCAGGACATCCGGTGCCTACGGCTCCTGCCCAAGATTGTCCACCAGCGATGCGGGCACGGGTGGTTCCGGTGCTACAGCGGGATGTGGGACGAGACGCCGTGTTTGAAAGAGCCGGAGGAGGTGCCGATGGAGGATATTGAGACGTGATAGGTTGGGGTTGTATTCGCTGGTTTTGGTGTTTGGGAGGTTCAAATATTTCTGGGTGAGGTACTGGTGTTGCGTCACGGGTGAGAATGCTTGGGCTAACCCTTTAGCGGTGGCAGATTGCGTCGAAACGAGTGGGATGAGATATCAGGTTGAAAGGGGTCTTGAACCAGGCGATGAGCAGATATTGCAGGAGCTTTGACGGGCCCGAGATATTCAATCAAACGTGATCAAGGCTCAGATATCATCTGTAGGTGACTAAATGTTGATTAGCGACTTGACTTGACCGCCCGTAGTGTACTCCTTGTTAGCTGGATGATGCCCCACTCTTTCATCTGAAGGTCTATTCAAGGTCAGAATTATTCCTCGAGACTGGGGCGAGAGGTACTTAGGCCTGAAGATCTCAAGTTCTTTCATAAAAGGTCGGGGGAAGGTGGCCGAGGGGCATGATGGGGGGGTCTTTGTATTAACCTGAAAGTCCTCGAGCCACTGTCAACCTGACCTTTTGTTTGATTCCCTATCGGTGACCTTTGTGTTTTTTCTTCTCTTCATCGTGAAGCAAAATATCTTCCTCGCACGTACAGGATTGATAAATAGTCAACAAGTAATCAACATACACACGTGGGCGAAGAGATCAAAATAGGGACGAGATATACACATTTTATGTACCACTTAAAAACAGAGGCATTGAGTGTAACCAACGCGAATCCGCGATGTGGGTATAAACGAGATACAGGAGACTTGACCGCTATCTAAGGTGCGGTTGTGACCGTGTGTCGTAACGTCCAGGGGAGACTAGGAGTAGGTATCGTTGGTGGAAGATCATAACTTTGAGTCACCCGATGACGGCTTCTCCTCTTTCTCTAAACTCCCGGGGGCTTCTTGTGCTGTCGTAGAAGCAAGAGCCGGCTCAGCCTTGGCACTCGTCGACTCCTTGTCCACACCAGCAGCAGGCGCGGACGTCTCCTCATACCGAGAAACTCCACTCAGCAACTCAGCGCTTTTCGGGTCCTCATGCTTCATCTCAGCCACAGGCGCAGAAGCGTCGAAGACGATGGCAACCTCGTCAAGAGGCGTGGCCGCGCCCTGTGCCGCAAGCTGAATCTTCTTCTTGGCCTCGATCCGGAAGTCCTTTGCGTCCTGCGGTGCGCCTTCAGATCCATTAACGGTTCTCCCCTCGCGGCCGCGATCATCCTTGATATCCGTGCCAATCTCGCCCCCCTGGCCCTGGATCGCCTTTGACATTCTCTGCACGACGCCCGCGGGAATACTCTTCTGCGCGTCCTCGGTGTCGCTTCCGCCGTCTTGCCGTAGAGGGAAGCCGACTTCTTCCGTTTCCTTGGTGGCTTCCGCAGCATGCTCCTCCTTTTCGTCGTCCTTGTCGTCGTCGAGCTTGAGCGCCGTGTCGACGCCCTCGGTAACTCTCCGAATCTCCTCCTCCAAATCATCCTCGCCTTCGCCAGCGGCCGACGCAAGCTGTCTCTTGGCCTCCTTTTCGCCCACAATACCGCGCCAGAGCGCCTCTAGCTCATCGCCCCAGCCAAGCAGGGCAGCAACCTTACGAACTCCAGCATCACACGTCCCCAACTCGACAACGTCATCCGCCCTGCGACCCATTTGTCCCACCCGTTCCCTGTTGAGCAGCAACCGCGGCACGCCAGACTTCGAAGCCTCGGCTAGGCCGGCAAAGGGGTAGACTGAGAGGCTCGTACCCATGACAACTATCAAATCAGCCATGGCGGGCAGGTGTGTATTATCGCGGAACGCCTCCGGCAGCGCCTCCCCGAAAAAGACAATGTCCGGCTTCACTAGCCCACCGCAGGAATCGCACTTGGGCACGTTTTCGTCCTGGACGTGCTTTTCCATTCGGTCGGCGAGGAACGTGTCCTTGCACTCGATACAGCGCTGGGTGGCGAAGCTGCCGTGCGCCTCGATGATCTTGTCGTCCGGCACGCCGGCGCGCCTCTCGAGGCAGTCAATGTTTTGTGTAAAGTTCATCTGCAGGAGACCCTTTTTCGCGAGTAGGGCGATGAAGGCGTGGGAGACGGTGGGGTGGAACTTTCCCGGGTAGAGCTCCTTGGCGAGGTAGTAGAAGGGCTCGGGGTGCTTGCGGAAGTAGGAGATGTCGAAGACGGCTTCGGCGTAGGGGAGGTTGAGGCGGGCTAGGTTGGCGTAGAGGCCGGTGCCGGGTGATCTGAAGTCGGGGACTGGGAGCGGTTGTGTTAGAAACTTGCAGAAACTTGGTCTCAACGTCAGGGAGGGCGCATACTGCCAGCGGCTGTTGAGATGCCGGCGCCGGTCAGGACGGCAATCTTTTTCACATCGCCGGACTTGATGTAATCAGCAATGGCCTCCAGCGAGCGCGACTCGAGCGTCTTGGGCTGGACGCTGTCGTCCAGCATCGTCGACTCCTCGTTACCCATCTTCTTGCGCGGCCGGTTGGAGTTGGGCCGGCCCTTGGGGTGTTTCTCGCGGCGTCGGCGGCCTATGATGGGCAGGTTGGCGGGGTTGGTGAGCGGGGATGGCGGGGAGAAAAAAGCTGGTTGTGCGGTGAGAGTTGCCGTCTGTCTTACTGTCAAGAGAGAGGAGTATACGACAAGCGTGTGAGGTATGTATCGCTTATTATCAGAGTAGCTCTAGGGTGTTGTCTCGGTCTAAATGCGAGTGTAGCCTAGAAAGTGACGCAAAGCAGGGGATATGTGTGGATGGATGGTTAAAGGCAGCTGTTTGCCTCGCTGGCGACTCACAAAAAAGTCGTTGGTTCGCTTCGCCGTTACATCATGCGGCGACCCCACCCCCGCCATCCCTCAGCGTCGTGCTCAGGCGTTTGGAGCTCTTATCGCTATCGGATGAGCCCTACGGCGGTGGCGGACGGCGCGGCCAAAACCGGGAATACGGGCAGGCAACTTGGAATGGTCAGCAAATGCTCATTGGGTGTACATTTCCATCTATCAATGACTTCGAACCTTGCCATCTTCGGGATGATAATGACAATGAAATGGGTATGATTGGAAGTGAAGGTAGTAAAGAAATATCATGGTTTTGGCATAGTCCACCTTGGGTGCAATCTCGGGGAGAATGAACATATCAGCTTGGATTTCGCCCCTCGTCAGGGACAAATTTCAATGAGACCGGAGCTTCTGGCCCTTGCTTACTCGCAGTAACCTGTCTCATCCGTGTAACTTTCCCTTATGGGCTTTTGATTATTGTAAAATTGAGAGGACTGTATGTAATATGTATATCTCTCTATATCCTGATGACTATGTTTTTATTCCGTAAATCGACGTCTATCCCTCGACAACAATAGGGTCCATGTCTAGCGAATCTTGTCTCTAGGCAAACGATAGGCAAACGCAATCGCAGTACCACCAATAGCCATGACAGTCGCAGCCATGTACGGCAGACCGAGCCATATGCCTCCTGCTGAGTTGCCAGCTTTCAGCAAGCCCGATATTACCGGGGCCGAAACGAGCAAGCTCACTTGTTCCACCCAGGTGATGGCCGTGTTCAGGGTACCGATCGTGTGCGGCTCGACTACGGCGTTGAGGATGGCTCGACAGATATTTGTGTAAACGGTTCCCATGGAGAAGATGATGAGGGCTATGTGAAAGTCAGCATATCCGGGTGTTTGAGGACCGTAACCAGCCAGATACAGATGGTAAGGTAACGAAGGCAAACATACCAGTAATTAGAAACCAGGGTGCGAATGCAATGGCGACCATGAAGCACCCGATAGCCAGGAGGATGCCGCTCATTCGGGTGAGCCAAAGGTCCCGAACAAGAGGATGCACTCCCGTGCGCTTGGTGATCAGCCAGCTCAGCGCGGGGAGAATGGCGAGCAGCATGACCATGTTTGTGACCGTTGAGACGGTTCCTAAGAGCGTTGCCTGCGTGTCGCAAGGATTGGTCAGATAACGAACCACGTGGCATTTGACCGAGACGGCGCGACATCGAATTACCTTTGCCCAAGACCAGCCCAACAAGTTGTGCACGTATTGCGACATGATGTCTATCTTGACATACTTGACTATAACTGTGAGGTTGAAGCCGAGGACGAGGGAAATCACGCTCTTGGACTTGATCAAAAAGGCGTAGACATGGCCCATGTCATTCTTCACGGCGAAGATGATCTGCTGCTTGAGTGTGCGCTTGTCCCTCGCGTCTTCTTCGGACCGCGAGAGTGTCTGCTCGACCTCTTGATCGGCGGCGCGACGGAGATCCAGGGTCTCTGGAATGAAAGGCGGCAGGCATGTGCCGATAATTAAGAGGACCATGCCGACGCTGAGAGGCAGCCATGGGTTCTTGCTCAAGAGGTAAGCGCTGAGAGGCGCAACTACAAGCTCTCCTGCAAGCGCGATTGCGCCAATCTTGTAGTAAACCGCGGTCCTGATACACGTGAGCTTATGAATGGCTGATCTCGGCAATGGACGAATCTTACAGGCTGGAAATGGGGACGACGTCAGAGATCATGGTCCAGGTCATGGCTTGAATCATGCCTGCGCCTCCACCAATGAATTGGAAAGCTGCTCCGAACCACATGGTCCAGAGAGGGAGAACGTTGGGCCACAAAACTGTCGTCAATGAGCAAAGTTCACTGGTAGCAGAGATATGTATGTGACCTACGGGGTAACAACATCCAGGCGAGCTCCAACGTAATGCCGAGCATGGCCAAGGACAGGACTGGTCGGCGGCCATACTTGTCTGCAATGACTCCGTAGGGAATCGCAGTGAGCAATGCTGCAAATGCCAAAATTAGCCGGTTCCGATAGTTGAGGCTAGATAGTGAGACATACACGGGACGCAGTCGAATGAGTTTTGCCAGCCTTTAATCATGGCTAGCTGACCCTGTACATCCGGGCCCTTGCAAACATCGTTGTCCTCCGCCGAAATGATGTGATCGGGATGGCGTTGGCGACAGATGATTTCTTCCATGAGCTGATATGAAGGCGGGATCTGAAGATAGGCGCCAACTTCAACGATAAGAATAAACGTCATTGCCAGACCAATGACCTTTAGCTGGTATCTCCGGCTCGGAGCGACTCTGGGTGGCAAGTCGTGTGACAACAACGGTGTCTCTTCTTCAGGCCTGCTTTCGATGTCGCCATTGCGGTCGTCAATCGCTTTCGTGGGTGCCATCTTGGAGCAAATGCCGTCCCAGACGACTAAAAGAGTGTTTAGAAAAAGACAAAGAAGCCGACAAAAGAAAGAAAATTGGATATCTCAAGGGAGCTTGAACAAGTATAAGTCTGCGTTGAAGCCAGAGTCTCGAAGATCACCAGGTGCGGTGCCGAGGGTGGTGTATTGGTGTCAATCCTTCCAGGAGAGGAAGGTCGATGAAGGGTATGCGAGCGTCGCGTCGCTAGCCAGTCGGCGGCCCTCAACTGTAATACGGAGGAATTGGACCCTGGTCGCGGACCGCCCAAGTTGGCCAGTCCCTATGGCCACGCTGAACCAACGACAAATGCGAGTCAGACTGCCTGTTGAACGTCACAGAGATTCCCCTACAATTTGATAGACATGACAAGGAGAGGTTCTGTGATAGCACGTTATCGTGTCCCGACCCAAACTTGCAGTAATGTTCCTCGCTGGCCTGTTATGTCTGGCGCAAGTACGTATCTGTACGGCGTTGACACTAGTGGTCGTTTGGGCTGAATCCGACCGGTTGGTAATCTAGGCGGCGCGTCCTTGCCTGCGTACGGAGTACCGTAGCGCATGCAGTTAGTCGCGGTGGGACGGCAACGTCAAGGGCCTCGTGCGTCTTACATTCATCGGCGCAATAGCAGCCCGAAGACGCAAGTTTGCTCGTTGATTGACCTTGACGCCGTGCGTGCTTTTCGGAAGCGATAACGATTTCGATTTTTTCCCGTTCTCTCCCTCTCGGATGAGTCCTTCGGAAAGCTTTCTCCGAGGACTCTCCGACGATCTGTGGATGGGAGGTTCGTCCAAACGTCCATGACCGTAAATCTCCCACTTCGACCCGGCGAGTACTTTTCGGGCAGGGGTCCCTTGGACATTTCCCGACTTGGGACGGTGGCCAAAAGCTTATTAGCGACTGACGTGGTGACGCGTCCAGGAACATTGAATTAGAATACTGCACTACGAGGGCTAAGATAGAGTTCTCGGACCGAGGTCGCTGTCGTGCGATTCGTATCGCAAGACATAACGTCTAAGAGGGTGGAAGAGACCTCGCTGCTGTCGCTATTGTACGACGCAGTATCCTTGCGAGACTGAATGTGTGGCCGACATTCTGACTGCATACCTTGTCTGCAAAAGTCTCGAAGCGAGTATGCATCGCCAATGGTCGTACTCAAGCGATGACTGAACATGATGTCTGACAACACTTGTCGTTGGAAATTGATACTGGTCTTGCCTCCCAGTATTCAGGCGGAAGCAGGAGGAAGTGGTGTGATGACTAAGGGAGGCTACCCCCGCGGGGTCGCAAGCACCATCCAGCCCAGAGCAGTGACAGGAGCTACCCCGCCATCCCGCCGAAGCTCCGACGCTTTCTCCTCCAACTCCCAGCCCAGCCCAAGGTACCTTACGTTAGCATCAACACGTCCACAATGTCTGCCAAAGTGACCGCCACCGGCCCTCTGGTAAGCCAACATAACTGACTCCAAGCAATCTACTACATCGTACCCTATCTGACCCATAGAACCGCAGGGCGAGGGCGAGGCTCGCTGGATCAAGCTCATCAAGATCAACTACGACGACCAGAACGGTAACGCTCGCACCTGGGAATCCGCCGAGCGCCGCACCCGCCCCAAGAACGGCGAGATTGACGGCGTCGGCATTGTCGCCATCCTCGAGAAGCCCACCGGCCCCGAAATCATCCTCCAGAAACAGTACCGTCCGCCCATTGACAAGATCTGCATCGAAGTCCCTGCGGGACTCGTCGACGAGGGTGAGACGGCCGAGCAGGCTGCCGTCCGCGAGCTCAAGGAAGAGACTGGATACGTTGGCAAGGTGTCTGAGACCACGCCGATCATGTTTAATGGTATGTAGCATCTCAATCAGGTCATTTCATCCTATGGCTGAGGCGCAGCTGATGTCGATTTGCTTTCAAGACCCCGGCTTCTGCAACACCAATCTCCGCATGATCCATGTCACCATCAACACCTCCCTCCCCGAGAACCAAAACCCGAAGGCTGAGCTGGAAGAAGGAGAATTCATCGAGGTCTTCACCGTGCCGTTGTCGAACTTCTGGGCAGAGTGTGTTCGTCTGGAGAAGGAAGGCTACGCCATCGACGCTCGCGTGGGGACCATTGCCGAAGGCATCGAATTAGCAAAGAAATTCAAGCTATGATGATGCTGCATGCTTGAGACTTGTTACACCTTTCATCGTGCTGTCACAACTCATAACTTGCCCTCGCGCCGGAGTCCATCCCAAAGAGCCAGCGCCGCGAGACACTTTGCATCCCGCGCGCCCTCCCGCCACAGATCCTTCATCGGCACAAGCTTCAACGTAATCTTCTCCCCGTGATCCCGTAGCCCAGTCAGCTTGCCGCTCCATTCCTTTAATTGCTCGCGAGGGATCTTCTTCTCGTGGCTATACAGCGTCACAAACTCATCGCACCCGCCGGCAGAGGGGTACATTGCCTCGGCCAAGCCCTCCTCGGCTTCATTTCCATCTGATCTGCCCGCGCCCGCCAGCTCGCTCAAGCACGTCAGCTTCGATTCATGAATCTCCAGGCCGAGCTCCTCTTTAATCTCCTTCGCCGCCGCACCTGCGAAGCTGCCGCTGTCGTCGACCATGCCGGCGGGTAACTCCACGAACGAAAGGCTGCCGACAGGCACACGGGGCTGCACCGTCAAGACGACGTAGCGCTCGTCGCTATCAGGCGGCGCGTCGTCAGGGATGAGTATCACCAGCATGCCGACACTAGGTCCGCGAAGGAATACGCTGGCAGGAAGTCCCTCTCCCGCCTCATTCTTGACATCGGCCTTAACCTTGAGGAAACCGACGCGGCCGGAGCCAAAGATGTCGAAGGTCTGAACTGAGATGCCGCGTAGGCGGTAGGGGTCTTGGTGGAATGGGTGGTCCTTGCTTTTGGCTTGCAAGCTTAGGGAGTTGTTGAGGCCCTTGACCCAATCCTATCTTGGCGGTCAGCGCTGTTCTTGACCTCTAAGGGGAGAATGCTGGGATCAGCTTCCCACGTTGAAAGGTCGGAAACCTAAGAGTTGGTCTTCTGATAGGCCATCGGGAAGCTTGACTTGGATCCCGCTCTCTTTTAATGTGATTGACGACATGGTTCGGGCGATGAGACTTGAATGCGCCTTCGGAATGCTTGGTCGTATCAAAATTGATCGGAAATGCTTCACTCTTGGTCTCGCGTTGAGCCGGGTTGGTCGAAAATGAAGCGCGGCTACACTCATTTCTTTGAGATGGCCATGAAAGATGCAATTCTACAACCTTTTGAGTGCTGATGTATATGAATTGATTGACGTCAGGCCAATGAAGGTGATTGGCGGGGCTTCCTCCGACTTACTTTAGTGCCTGCCGGAAGAGCTTTGACCGGGGTTGCGGACAGCTTACCCCTGCTAAACCCAGAGGCTAGCATACCTAGTAATTGAACTTTCCTACCTTTGCTCCATCCGCCATTTTTTTAATATTCATATTGTTGTTCGTTTGCACGTTGTTGGGATTGCTTATCCAATTCGTTAGTCACCTTGGACGAAAGTTCTGACAACGGAAGGAGTAATGTATTTCTTAGGAGACTTCCACGAGGTAGACAGCCATTCCAGGTCTAGCATCAGCCCACGCTAGGTCTCTAAACCACAGGGCAACTTTTCAAGAGCTACATAACTATTGGAATGCATGGTGTTGAACGATGATGCCACAGTTCGATTCATGCCCCGGCGTAGCCACATGATCTAAGTTGCTGGTGCTGGTCGGGAATTGACCGATCGTGGCCTGCACACAACTGATTATACACATGAAGCCCGAAGGAAGGTGTATACACGACTCAATCTATTTCTGCTAACAGCAACAGCAGGCGCTTTTCCAGGTCGGTAGGGCCGATGGAACTAGCTGGGTGATGGAATGGTTAAATGTTCGACAATCCGCCTTCATACATCGACTGCACGACAAGCTCCAAAATGGAGGAACTCTGATCAAAAATCCACAAATGTCAATGCTTTTCATGCCTGGATGCTGTACATGGCTACCTATGCAAGTGGAATATTTCCTCAAGACTTATTTCATGCAGTAATCATTCCCTGACTCCAACAACTTTATATACATTCCCGGCCGCTGGATTGCCAACTCCTTTCCTGGCTGATTCATCCCAAGAAGTTCTTCAGGTTTCCACCAATGTTCTTAAGATCCAACAAGAATGTGTCGTGTCCAAAGAAACTCATCTCCTCACTCAGCTCGTAGTGCGCAACGTTTCTGTTGCCTGCAAGCTTCAATGCCTCGGCCACTTCCCTCTGCTGCCACGCGGGGAAGAGGATGTCACTCGCCACACCGATCACAAGAGCAGGGGTATCTCTGAGAGGCGCGAGGCCTGCGATCAGGTCTTCCGGGGGCCTGGACGAGACTTCGACGGGCTGATCGGCCGCGCCGGCGTTGGACTCTGGCTGCTCCACGTAGGGCTTCTCGGGCAGCGTGAGACTGCAAGCCGCGTCGTTGCGCGCGGGCGACTCTCCGGACTGCAGAAGCTTCTCGCGCTCTGCCCTCCTCGCGTTGGCAGCAACCTGGTTCTCCCTCCCCAAGTCGAAAAGATCCATCGCCTTGCTGACATAAAGCAGACTGTTGGGGTCGTACGTCAAGCAGAACTTCTCGCCGGCGTGGTCCAGATACGTCTCAATCAAGAAATCAGGGCACAGCGCGGGCGGCTTGCTCGGGTCCGCCCTCCGCCTGCCGAACCTCTGCTCCCACTCCGGTCCCGATCGATACGTGACGGTCGCGATCTCGCGCGCGAGCTTCATCCCCGCGTGCGGCGGCACCCTGCCGTAGTAGAACCCTCTGTTCCAGTTCGGGTCCATCATCAGCACCTGCCGCTGCGTGTGGCGCATCGCGATGCTGTAAGGGTGTGACCGGGCGCAGCCGCTGATAGAGACTATCCGGCCGACGCGGTCCGGGAAGAGGACGCCTGCGCCGAGCGATTGCATGCCGCCCATGCTCGAGCCGACGCTGGCGTAGAGCTTGTCCACGCCGAGGCCGTCCAGGAGGCGGAACTGCGCGCGCACCATGTCCTCCATGGTCAAGATGGGAAATCGTGTCGCGTACCGCTGTCCGTCTGCTGGGTCGATACTACTCGGTCCTGTCGAGCCGTAGCAGCCTCCTATTACGTTTGTGCAGATGATGTGGTATTTGTCGGTGTCCAGAGCCAACCCCGGTCCGATGAACTTCTCCCACCAACCGGGCTTGGGGTTGCTTTCGGTCGAATGGGCATGAGACGACGCCGAGAGGCCAGTGTGCAAAAGAATGACATTGGACTTGTCGGCGTTCATCTTGCCCCACGATTCATATGCGATGTCGAATTCAGGAAGGACACCGCCCCAGTCGAGCAGGAGAGGGTCCTTGCAGTGGTATATCTCTGTTGCGCCAGCGGTATAAGACGGCTCGGGGCCGCTCGACTCGTACCGTGCCTCGAGGCTCGCAGATCGGTTCTCGAGGGCGTCGAGGCATGGAAATGCCATTGCCGGGTTTGACGCATCGCCGGGGCTGTTCGAAGCCTTCCGCGCTGGCTTGGAGTGGAATTGGTGGGCGCATTGTCGGTTGCCAAGAGGAGCTGCCGCGGTGACTTTTGAGCTCCGGAAAACGGAGGGAGCTTGGACGCGCGACGCTGGTGCGCGGGCCTGGCGAAGGGTCTGCGAGGCGATTCTTTGGCACTTCATCACGACAAATACGGACAAAAATTGGCAATTGGGAATTATGAAAAGTCTAAGACCATCTTTCAGGTCACTTGTGACAGAAATATCGACGCCATCGGCTCTCGGTTTGTAAGCGGGAGCTCCTCCGGTAACGACCCATTGTCTTCAGTCAGTGGCTAACGATGGTGTAATTTCACGTGATGATAGTCGATAAGAGTTTCTTATCGCATCGAGCAGGGGTCCTGTCAGTGACATTTCTTAACCCCACCATCAGATCCACCTCCCCACTGACGTCAATTTAAGCTGCAGGCCTCCGTGCACCGACCCCGAAATGAACCTTTGAAGTTGCCATGAGCTGACGTCGCCTCCACACGTACTTGGGTACCACAACCACGAGATCCCTACGAAACCGGCGCCTACACATCTTCTTACCCCTCTTCCCACCATTCCTCTTTCTACATTCCCCAGAGTATTCCTCCCGCGAATCCGTACATGTCTTTCTTCTCCCAATTCCAACAATACGCCGGAACCTTTGTAACAGTAGCAGCCGGTGCCATCATCGCTAGAGCCGTCGGCATCATGCAATCAGACACACAAGACGACCACTCCGGGCCGTCCCCGCAGGAGCCCGGAAACTACAAGCCCTCGCACGTCGATGTCATCGTCGTTCGCGTCATGCTTGAAAAGGCCTTCAACTTCCCGCCTGAGATCCTAGATCTCATCATCGACCAGGCCGAATACTGGCCGCATTCCGAAGCCAGCATCTACCACGCAGTCACACCTCTCCGCGATGCCCTCCGCGTCGTCGGCACCACCAGAGACGAGAACAAGTTCATCCTGCGGTGTCCACCCATCGGATTCCTCGACTTCAAAAAAGTCGGCCAGGCATTCAAGACCGCGCCGCTCCCGCCAAAATCGGGCGATGGGTCCCCCGTTACGGAGCCGCTCCGCAACCTTACACTCCTCGAACCCACGTCGAGCCCCACCGAGATGGTCACCGAGGCCCCAAGAGAATACTTCACGGGGTCCATGAAGGCGCCGCCTACTTTGACCCACCCGGTGCGGAAGATAGTCTTCAAGTTGCGGAGTAAAGATCAGGGCTGGGGTGGTGGACACGGTGATCGTGGGTCCTACCGAGGATCTTGGTCCTGGTTCGAGGCTGGTCTGGAGAAATTTGACAAGGAGCATACTTGTAAGCTATCCTTCTGCTCATGGAATGAAATCCTGTCAAATACTAATGAAACAGGTGATGGATCCTGTCAGACAGCAGCGGAAAGCTCGGATAGCGAGTCCGAAGAGGCACCTTTCACCAACGAAACGAACCTTTGCACCTGCGGCCTTCAGTCGATATATCCTCCAGTCCTATCGACCGCTGACGGGAAGCTCGCCTACTCCCATGGCATGCACCCGCTCGAAAACCTCAAGATACAAACCAACAAGACTGCTAACAGGGACTTTATGGACCATGAGGTGGTATGGTCTTGGACCGACGACATCCACCCCGAGTCGCCCGAAGCCGACCGGCTAGCTGAGATAGGCCGGGGCAAGGGCACCGGGACTGGAAAGTTTGTGCGCAATTTGAAGCTGGGAGATGTGGTCACGGTATGGGGCAAGGCGAGGTTTGGTGGCTGGGCCAACTACGTGGAGAGCGTCAAGGTTGAGATTTACTGGGCTGTTTGAGAGACAGTTATGGTAGCGTTTACGATCCGCATTAGTCTGTACACTATTCCTCCTAACACTTACGATTCATGACTACCGTAATGTAATTATCGCCGAGCACAGCGATCCTTATCAGAATGTCTGCCTTGGAGTAAAATCCGACTCATAGCTTGTTCACGCCACTCATGCCTTGGCAGACCATCATTTAGTACCCCTCATCCAACACAGTGAGCCCATCGTAACCCAACTTCAGAACCCCGGTATCCACGATAAAGACGGCAACAAGTACCGTACGACTTTCGCTCCTGGGGTTTTCTCCCACCGTGCGATGGCAGCCGGGCAGCTCCATGAAGCTATCCCCCACCTCGTACACCTTGGGCGCGTTCCCGTTCATGCCGTTCAGAAGTTTGCCCTCAACGACATTCACCACGACAGTAGCGCCTGCGTGTCGATGGGGAGGGGTGGCACCGTTGGGTGGGTAGATTACTTCGAGGCCGACTATCGATTTTCCTGCGGCGTTGGGGAATTTGTAGTGGTATAGGACTTTCACTGTTCCGCGGGGTCGAGTTATACTCGACGTAAGTCAGTACGTAATCTAAAGGGTGTTGAACTGTTTGACTAACTTAGCTGTCTGACTCTTGTATTCGATTTGTGGGATGACTTGTTTCCGGTGTTTAATATTCCTTCTCCTGATGGTCCAAACCAGACGAAAGAAACTATAACAGCTAGAAGACACTCTGGATAAATAAATTGAGCACCAGCGTCGGACATAA